TAACTAGAAATGCTTCCTTTGATATCTGAATTCCATCTGCTGAGCATGCTCTAACATTACCCCCCTTCCAGGTCCTCATTATTTACAAGAGCCCCTTTAATGCACAACTGCCTGTGTTGAACCTTACTATTATAGTGTAGAAGCTGAGAAATTGCCACTGTAGAGTGAAAGGTATTACTAGGGTACCACTTTCACCTCTTCTTGGGAAATATTTTAAAAGAGAGTAATAAGTATTTCTATCTTTCATTTGAAATCTAATAGGGGGGACGAGTGAGAGTGCGGAGACAGGTTCACCCGTGAGGTTGCCTCAGGCGAAGCGGTTGCCCCCAACCCTCAAGACTGCTTCTACCCGTAAGGACAGGAGGGTGATTGTCATAGGCGACTCCCTTCTGCAAGGAACAGAAGGCCCTATATGCCGGCCCAACCCTACCCGCAGAGAGGTGTGCTGCCTTCCTGGGGCATGGGTCAGGGACATTTCAAAGAAAATTCCTGGGTTGATTCGGCCTTCAGATTATTACCCGCTTTTAATAATTCAGGCTGGCAGCGAGGAAGTTGATAAGGAAAGCCTGAGGTCTATCAAGAAAGACTTCAGGGGAATGGGGCGAATACTTGAAGGAGCTGGGGTGCAGGTGGTCTTTTCTTCTATGCCCGTGGTGTCAGGGAAAGGTACAGGGAGGATCCAAAATACCCAACTCTTCAATAGATGGCTTAAGAGCTGATGCAGGCGCAAGAATTTCGGCTTTTTTGACCATGGGGCAATTTACACTGCACCTGGCATGATGGCTGCTGATGCATGCAGCCTGTCCTTGAGGGGTAAGAGGATCTTAGCTGAAGAATTAGCGGGACTCATTGACAGGTCTTTAAACTAGGAATGAAGGGGGAAGGGGACAAAATAAGGGCTACTGGGGTTGAACGGGTCATTCGAGGGCTTATACCAAACTCCATGGGCAATGACGGCAGAGTGCATAGGGAAGGACTAGGGCAGGGAGATGCTGGGGATGCTGCTGTTCTAGGGGATCCTAGATCCCTTATAAAGGTGGCGAGACGGATAGCCCGGCTGAAGTGCCTTTATACCAACGCACGCAGCCTGAGTAACAAGCAGGAGGAACTGGAAACTGTGATGCACTCGAAAGTTATGACCTTGTTGCTATCACAGAAACATGGTGGGATGACTCCCACAATTGGGATACTGCCATCGATGGCTATAGACTCTTTAGGAGAGATAGGCGAGGTAGGAGGGGTGGGGGAGTTGCTCTCTATGTCAGAGATTGGATAAACTGTGAGGAGCTCCCTACGAGAAGCAGTCAGGAACAGGTTGAGAGCCTGTGGGTTAGGATTAGAGATGGGACTAATATAGGTCAGCTGGTGTTAGGGGTATACTACAGACCACCTGATCAAGGGGAGGCTGTTGACGAGGCTTTCTTGCTCCAGATGCGTGAGATGTCTGGCTCACGGGCTCTTGTCCTGGTGGGGGACTTCAACCATCCGGACATCTGCTGGGAAAACCACACGGCGAGCTGCAAGAGCTCCAGAAGGCTCTTGGAATCCATTGATGATAGCTTTCTGGTTCAGGTATTGGACGGACCAACCAGAGGTGAAGTGTTGCTAGACCTGCTGCTCACCAACGCCGAGGAGATCATCAAAGGTGTTAAGGTTGGAGGCTGCCTGGGCTCCAGCGACCACGCCCTGGTTGAGTTTGTGATCTCAAGCGATGTGGGCCTGGCAAAGAGCAGGATCAGGACACTGAACTGTAGAAAAGCAGACTTCAAGCTACTCAATGGATTGCTGGCCAAGATCCCCTGGCGCGCTGCCCTCAAAGACAAAGATGTTGAGGAGAGCTGGCAGCTCTTCAAAGATGCCCTCCTGGAAGCACAAGAGGTCTCCATTCCTCCGAATAAGAAAGTGGGCAGGCGAGGTAGGAAACCGGCATGGCTCAGCAAGGACCTGCTGAGAGAACTGAGGGCGAAGAAAGGGGTGTACAAGCTCTGGAAACAAGGCTGTGTCACCTGGGAAGAGTACAGGAATGCCGTCCGGACTTGCAGACGTGGGATCAGGGAAGCCAAGGCACAGGCAGAACTGAACTTGGCAAGGGACGTGAAAAACAATAAGAAAACCTTCTACAGGTACATTGCCCAGAAGAGACAGGCCAAAACGGGCGTACCTACTTTGGTAAATTTAAAAGGAGAACTGGCTTCAACAGATGAAGAGAAAGCTGAGGTGCTGAATGAGTTCTTCACCTCGGTCTTCACTGGTGGCCAGGATTCTAGTCTTTTTCACGTCCCTGAACCCTGCATCCCCAAACCTCTATGTGGGGAACAAGGAGGTAAATCCCTCCCCACTGTAAGGGCAGAGCAAGTCCGAGAGTGCCTCCTTAGACTGAATGAATGCAAGTCTATGGGGCTGGATGGCGTGCATCCCAGGGTCCTGAAGGAGCTGGCTGAGGTGGTTGCCGAGCCGCTCTCCATCATATTTGAGAAGTCGTGGCTGTCAGGCGAGGTCCCGGATGACTGGAGGAAGGGTCACATCACTCCCATATACAAGAAGGGGAGCAGGGAGGACCCGGGGAACTACAGGCCGGTGAGTCTCACCTCCGTGCCTGGGAAGATCATGGAACACATCCTCCTGGACAACATGCTCGGTCACATAAAGAATGAGCATGTGATCCGAGACAGCCAGCACAGCTTCACCAAAGGAAGGGCATGCCTAACTAATCTTGTGGCCTTCTATGATGGAGTGATGGCATTGGTGGATGAAGGGAAGGCGACCGATGTCATTTACCTGGACCTGAGCAAGGCCTTTGACATGGTCCCCCACCACATCCTCATCTCCAAATTGGAGGGAAGTGGATTTGATGGGTGGACAACCCGATGGATAAGCAATTGGTTGAAAGGCCGCAGACAGAGGGTGGTGGTCAATGGCTCTATGTCCAGGTGGAGGCCGGTAACAAGTGGTGTCCCCCAAGGGTCTGTCTTGGGACCGGTGCTCTTTAACATCTTTATTAATGACATCGATGAGGGAATTGAGTGCACCCTCAGCAAGTTTGCTGACGACACCAAGCTGAGTGGTGCGGTTGATACGGTGGAAGGAAGGGATGCCATTCAGAGGGACCTCGACAGGCTGGAGGGCTGGGCTCGGGTGAACCTAATGAGGTTCAACACGGCAAAATGCAAGGTTTTGCATTTGGGCCGGAAGAACCCCAGGCACCTGTACAGGCTGGGAGGAGCGGTCCTTGCAAGCAGCTCGGCAGAGAAGGACCTGGGGGTCCAGATGGACGAGAGACTGAACATGAGCCAGCAGTGTGCTCTGGCAGCTCGAAAGGCAAATGGGATCCTGGGCTCCATCAGGAGAGGGGTGGTCAGCAGGGACAGGGAGGTGATTGTCCCTCTCTACTCGGCTCTTGTGAGGCCCCATCTGGAGTACTGTGTCCAGGTGTGGAGCCCTCAGTACAAGAAAGACATTGAGATTTTGGAAAGGGTCCAGAGGAGGGCGACTAAGATGATCAGGGGGCTGGAGCACCTCCCCTGTGAGGACAGGCTGAGGGAGTTGGGCTTGTTCAGCCTGGAGAAGAGAAGGCTGCGGGGTGACCTCATTGCAGCCTATCAATACCTGAAGGGAACCTACACCCAGGAGGGGAGTAAACTCTTCAAAAGGGCTGACAATAGCAGGACTAGGGGAAATGGATCCAAGTTGAAGGAGGGAAGATTTAGGTTGGATGTTAGGGGGAAGTTCTTTTCAAGGAGAGTGGTTAGGCCCTGGAACGGGCTGCCCAGGGAGGTTGTGGATGCCCCGTCCTTGGATGTGTTCAAGGCCAGGTTGGACGGGGTCCTGGGCAACCTGATCTGAATGTCTATGTTTGGTGGCCCTGCTAGGCAGGGGGGTTGGAACTACATGATCCTTGAGGTCCCTTCCAACCCGGGTGATTCTGTGATTCTGATTCTGTGATATGTAGTGCATTTTTACACTCATTCTGGCTGAATAATTTATGGTGCAGTGTTACTAAATACTTGAAAGGCAAAGTCATATCTTGAGCTTGCAATCATAGAATCATAAAATATCCTATGTTGGAAGGGATGCGCAAGGATTATTGAGTTCAGCTACTCTAACATCAAATCCCATTTAGACTGCAGAGGTTTCTAGGACTAAAGAAGTTCACCTTGCATTTTGAAGGCTGGAATTTCAGGTTTGGCTACTAAGTCACATTAAAGACTTGCTAGAGATGTCCCCTACCTTTCATGGAACTAAATCTTCAGTTTTCTAGAACCTGAGACCAGGAGATAATGTTTTTCCTTGGAGAGCAAGGTCAGCACACTGGTCATGGCATTATTATGATGGTCGTGGAGAAGATGGTCCATCTTCTCTGGAGCTGGGATTTAGAATAAGGCAATGGTCTGGAACATTGCCTAGCTGTTAAACTGGCATCTAAGCCTTAAGGCAGAGGACTTCTTTCAGAGTACTTTACTTTCCTTGTCTTTGTGTAACGGAATTTCTTACTTCCTTAGGCTGGTTCTTGTTTTTTACCCCTTTATAACTGGTTCATGTAGAGTTATTTGCTTTCCAAAGTTTCCATAGGGACAAGGCTATGCAAGTCCTTGCCTCCAGCATACTAATACTCAAGCACTTCATGAGTCTGAAATCAAGGAGAAATTGTTTAACTGAAATGTTACCAGAAGACAAGCAAAATAATATTGCTGTAAAGGCTGAGGAAAGGCAAAAATATGGGGGAAGAGGAACTAGGCCAAACCATGAGGAAGTGCACAAGGCAAGCAGATTTAACTGCCAATGCTGGCCACTCAGCTTTTCCTATGGTGAGCTTCAGGCTGTGCTTCAGACCTATAATAATGTCCCAGTCTTTCCATAATTTTCAATTCTCACCTCTCTCATATCCTTTAAAATCCATACTTACAACAAATTTTTAAAGGGGTGACAGAAGGGGGCAGGCAATCGATCAATTATTAATTTCCCATCTTACTGTCAGAAATGAAAACAGCCATTTGTCAGAGTTAATTTAATTATTTTTATTAGGGACTTAAATCTCATTAAGAGCATTATTTAGTAACAGAAAATCCCCAGGAGTGGAATCACTGTAAGGCAAAGGTGAGCCAGTCTTCAGCTGAACATTCCTTGCTCCATTGTCCTGGAGATCTCTTCTCCTTGAACACAGCTTCTGCAGCCTGAAAAACCCCATTCTCTCTTCCAGGAGACAGAAATCAAACTAGTGGAGGAAGACAAAAATGGAGTACTTGGAAATGGAGCAGTAGAAAGGGGATGTGATTTAAAAGCCAACTAAGAAATTACAGCTGTCTGATAGTAATATAGTTTGGTTTGGCTGGCTGAAATCATAAGCTAATTTCTGCGTGTCTTCTCTTAAAAAGTGTGGATCAACTGTTAGCTGATGAAGGGAGACATAGGAATGTGTGGTGCATGTTCCTGGTATCCCCAGGCAGGTAAGAAAGGAAAACCAGCAAATACTAACTGGACTTATTCTGCTTGGATAACACAATTCACTTCAAATAGAAAATGGCTGTTTTCCAAAAGGCCACAATAAATACACATTCTCTTTGAAGACATTTTCACCAAGGCAGAACAAAATAACAGAAATTTATAACGTGAAGGACAACCTGAAGTACAGAAGGGCTTTTCTCATTTGTATATAGTTTGTTCTCAAGATGTGGAGAAGCAGCTACTGAGAACAGTTAGTGTGAAAGTATTTTTGTTTTTTTTTTATTAATTTCTTCTCATCTGGTTGCACTTGATTCCACCCCTTTGTCATTACCTCCTTCATTGGGTGAGTTGGGTTGCACCCAGACTGCTTTGTCCCTCAGCCCATCATGGGATAACACGTGGGGTCACACCAGTGATGGGCATGGGGCCCAAGATGAACTCTGGTCTAAAGCAATGCAGACAAGAGCAACTTTGACAACTCCACTGATAGGAAATGCTTCTCAAGAGTTTAAAAGCTCAGGTTCCCATTGAAGACAATGTGCATGTAAAAGACAAAGAAACTGAAAGTTCTGGGTCTCTGAGAGCCCTAGAAGCACAGAAATGATGGCATCCTCAAGTGTTACAGAGGAGACTCAATATCTATATCTACATCTTTTAAATGTTAGTGTTGCTAAGGATGAAGTGCATGGGGAAGGCACAAAGGCAGGATAAGAATGGCTGCATTCTGTTAGTATCTAGCGGCTGAACACAGAAAAGTGGACACACAAGAAGAGAAGTGATATGTATGAATAAACCCCTCTGGCAGAACAAAGAAACCTCTGCCTAGAATCTGGCAAATTCTTAATCCATAATGCTTGCCTCAACCTTGTTCCAGTGTTGGGTTTATTGGCCTAAAATGCCAGGCACATGCGAGAGTATTTAAGAGAGGCATGTGTTTCACATCACACTTATCTTTTAGAGCAGGAAAAAGGAGGACAATTGGTTATGCTCCATGCTTCAGTTTCAGCCATGTTTCAGCCTTTCAGCCAAAATCTGAAAGGAATAATAGAACAGTATCTAGGTCTGCTCCTTTAGGCAGCATTATGCTAAATAAAATTCAAACCATAGACTATTCTACCATAAAAACAAACACAGAAAGATAAAAACTTTGCAGCAGAAAGTGGAAAATGATAGTTATATTCTGGATTTCCTTGTAGCTACTTGAAAGTCATGAATAAAAGAAAGAAGAAAAAAAAATGGCTGCAACTCTTGGAGCTAGGTTGACTGTTCTGAAAGCCTTGATTTGGGCCCCAATCCTTCAGGATGCTAGTGAAGAATATCTCAAGACTGAAAAATTCTTACATTAAAAGAATGCAAGATCAGGTCACCTAGGAAATGGCTTCCTTGCCATGGCACAAAAGCTTGAATCTGGAGGCATTAACAAATTCAAATACAGAGCTGAGCATGGATTGGAGTAAGATCAAAGAAAAATGTGTTCTCTTCAGAAACAGTTGCAATGCTAAAGTTTCTGCTCACTACTTTCAATATGAAGAGACTGGATTGATATGCAAAATTATTATCTTTGTTTTATTAATTTATTCTGTACTAAACCTCGTATGCCAGGAATTTCAGAGCATCACCAGGACAGATGTCAGCAGTAGGCAGCCAGTGATTTCAAGCTGCTCAGAAGAAGTTTTTCACTTGTATTCCCCCTATGAAAGGTTTGAAATTCATTATTAAACAGTGTGGCATTTCATGCCTGCTTGCTACTTCATGTCCAGGAACTAAATAGTTTATTTTGAGCAGTGTAGCTGTATAAGTCAGAGAGGTTGTTTGCTTTTGATGTTGGATGGTTCTTATGTTTGACTGCAGTGCCATACACTTTTTGTAGCTGTGATCAGATCACACATCATAAAACAACACACACTTCTGCCTAGAAATGGATTTAGAAACATTAAATAAAAAACATGTTTAGAGTAATGTTTTTCCAAAGTAGAAGATAAACCATTAAAAAACAATTATTGATTTTAGATTTCTGAAAAAAGTTTTGACATGTTTTCATTTTTACTAGCAAATACTAGGCTTCTAGATACACCCAAAGGAATCTTATTTCTGTATTAGCTCTTCATTACATGTATGTGTTTGGAGATTAGCTTGAACTGTGTAGGAGTGAGCAATAATGATGCTGTCTGCTCCACATTCAAGTTATCTACTAAGTTAGGAAGTTCTGCTTTTTCAGAAGGTGAAAAACAACATCGCACTGGATGGGGCACAGTTTGTCCCACACAAATTGGCTGTCCAGCCCTGAGGCAGGAGAGCACAGGAAGGGCCCCAGACACCTCTTGTGTATGACCAACAGCCATGCGACCCACCTCTGCTTTAGGAATAAAGCACTCAGCTCTGCCCAGGCCATACAGCTCTCCCTACAGCCCTTGCTGCAGCCTATGAGCTGACTTGCACATGGAGGCACATTCTGGGTGTAGGTGTACTAAAACTAGCTTGCTGTATAGTGGTAGATTTAACTATAAGACAAACATGGGCCTTTTACTATGTATTACAAGCAAAAGTATTATTTTACTGGAAATGTAATAACAGTTCAAAGTTTAAACATCTTACTCCAGACTCATTGTATGCCTGATGTCTAGACCTAGGAATGACTCCCATCTCCCAGAAGAAGGCTCTTTTTAGACTGAAAATCCATGAACAAACACTGATTTGGTGCAATACAGGTCTATGATTTCTTCCAGAGAGATATGTGATAGAGAAACTTTGTCTGATCTAGAGACACATATTTTAAAACAGCAGCAACATAGTTAAGAAATTGATTTTTTTACAAAAGGTAACAAAACCCACTACTGCTTTTCTGACATTTAACTAAAGATGAACTTAGTAATATGTGTTGGTCTTCTGAGTTATTGCTGATGAGCATATTCTTCTATCAACAACAATTAATCAGTCAGCTTAAAAGACGTTAGTATACAGTGTTTTTCACCTCCAATAAATCACAGTGTAGAAAAACATAAACACACAAGAGAATGTTTACAGATGGAAAGTCTGACCTAAGGCTTTAAACACACTCAGACCACCAGAGTTTTGTCCGCTTGTGACTTACATGCCCTTTGCAAATGGTCAGCTGTGTGGTACTGGTGGCATTCCAGAGCAAATCCCAAGCATAGCCCTTTGCAGCAGGGCTCTTTAGCAAGAGGAGTGACATGCTGCACAGCAACAAAGTGTTTTATGTCAGTAGACACCTTCTGTGACTCAAAAGGGCAATACTATTCAATGGCTGTCTGATAACTTCCTGACACAGCAAGCATTTGTGGGCAGCTATAAGAAAAATGCCCACAGTAGATTTCTTAGAAGCAGCACTTATCCAGAAGGAGTTTTTAACTAAAAGGACAACAAAAATAATGGACTTTTTTTCCTAAAGCTACTGCTTGGATGCAAGGGATGAATAGAAGAGGATAACTAAGGAAAAGCCTGTAGCTATCAACTAAACTAAACTGGTGAAGGCAGAATTTAAATAGTTTCAGTGGGGAAAGAGCTTTCATACCAGCAGTATAAAACCAACGCTGCAATTTAAGTAATAAAAAGTTCATAAAATAGCAACAAAACATTATATTCAGATTAATTCTTCTTTTTTTTTCTTTCTTTTATTTTTTACTTCCTGTGTTACAGTTAATCCCCCTGAAGGATGTGGAAAGCTCAAGGTTTCAGACTGTTAGCATTGCAATAACAAGAGTAGAAGGAAATGGGGAGACTGGGCAAGCTTGGTGAGTCCATTTAACACGTCCTTGCAACTTTACTTCAAAAAACCGTGAAAGCAATACAAGAAAGAATACATTCCTATTTTCTACCAGAGCATGGATAATAGAATGTGTTTCATGACACACTTCCATCAAAGCAAATCAACCCTAAACCAGAAATCTACCTGAGAAACATTGCTAGCTAATTTTAGATTCACTTGGAGGTGATTTCTTAGGGACGAGGATCCCCGGTATACATCTGTCAGAGATCCTTGTTGCAAAGTCATTATGTAGCCATTAAGATCTAAAGGAAGCATAGTGGTCCTAATCTTCTGATTGCAAAACTAACAACCTTGCATGTTGATTCAAAACACTAGCCAGCTTGAGTGAACACTAGTATTACAGACTTTAAACCACACAGTCTTAGGAAGCAAGTACGCGTTCAGTCACTGGCAAGAAAACCCTAGGGCATCATGCCAGCATAATTCACTAGAGCTGACCGGAGAATTCACAGACTTCTTTTGCTGTAACAACAGTCAGGGCTGTTTAAGATGAGGCTTTTTTCACTATAGATATTTGCTCAAAGATTATGAAACTACTCAGGAGGATGATGTTGAAGATGTAGTTAGCATGATACTGACACTGTGAGCAACAGCTAAATAGTAAGTTAGATCATGCAGTGTGCGTGCTTATACATATTAAATAACATATACAAGCTCTGTTGCTAGAAATATACTGCTTTTGGAGAATAACCCTTGCATTTCTGAGGGTATTTACATTCTGTAAACATATAAATATAAACATAGGAATATATAAAAATATAATATGTAAATATATATTACATATATACTATGCCACATAGTATAAGATATAAAACAAATACAGGTAACATGAAATACATAAAACATAAAATGTATTTTTAAAATTAATAGTAGTTCTAAAATGCTTTCAAATAGAAAAGAAGAAAAGAATGCCCTGGAGAATTGATTTCCTCCTGAGCTCTAAGAGGTCTTTCCCTCTTCTTGGCAGGAGTGGATTCTGTCTGCAGTCACTGCTTAGGCTCCCACTGTCCAGCTGGGAGCAGAGAGGTGGGCTGGGACACTTGCTGCCACAACATTGGATGGTGGTTTACAGGCACACACTGGAGCTGTGGTTCAGGTCAGCAGCCAAACCAGAGGTGAGATTTGTATCCTGGCAGGGCTCTTGTGTCCTTTGGTCTGCTTATGGAATCTTCTGTAGGTGACTTCAGAGTCTGTAAAAGCTGTTTACATGACTTTTATGGCTTTGTTTTTTTAATGGAACTGGTATATTCTGACATTTTTGTTGAAAAGACCTAAACATTTACTCTGGAGTGAAATCATAAGAAGCCAGAGCTGCCACTGAAATGCAACTCAGATAAACATTACTTCATGGTAATTAATTGATAAGGCATATAACTTTTTTTTTTTTTAATAAATAATAATAATAAAAATCTTCTAAGATTGAGGTAATTTCTTTTATTTTGCTTTCATGAATTCCCTCTTTATCCTTTGCACTGAGTGAGAACAAATGGATTCATTTTGGTCTCTGGTACGATGTACATGTTATAAACACTGATTTTTTTATTATTATTATTTTATTTTTTACAGCCTCATTAGCTCATTAAGGTATCCAGAGTTTCACTAGGTTTTGTTCTGCACAGGATGCTAGGCACCCTTGGAAATAGGATGCTTGTCAAAGGCTGCTCCTGTTTTCCTTGCCAACACTCTAATAAGAAGTTCACCTTTGAAATTTTCTCCTAGTTACCATGGGATGGTCCTGTCACGTGGCAATTGTTTTCCAACTAAAAAGTTTAACTAGAAAAAGGATGACCTATAACTTTTAGATGGAGATTGGGCAGGTTTATGTCAGGATAAATATATTCGGTGCCTAGATTAACCTGATTTCTCGTCAGTAAACAGGTAGGCAGTTGCTTTTCAGCAGCTTTCCATTGTGGAAAACATAGTTCTAAATTATTCAGTGGAACTAGTTTCCTTGTTCTTTACACTCTTCAGAAGGAAAAAGTGAGAAGTCTGTATTCATATCTATACCCTAGAAAAATGTAGTGCAAGTTTTCATTACATAAAGACAGCTTTTTATAGTCATGATGAACACTGAAATTATGATCTTGGAATCCTGATTAATTGCTAAAAATTAGTTATAATTTGAACTGATATCCCAAATTTTCCTTGACTTTTTTTTTCATTAGGCTTGAAAACACTAAGGGTTTTTTTTTTCTTAAATTAATATTTAACAACTAAGTTTCCAATATCCCTGGCCTGGAAATGAATACTGGTACTTCATGCTTTGCCAAAAACTAAAGAAAGTGGTTGGTCATCGCATAAAATAGAAATTCAACCAAGAAGACTAAGTTTTTGAAAGAGTACTTTCATGAAATCCAACAGGGAAGCCTTTAACAGGCTATACTAGGGACTAAAGCACCATAACTTTGCCAGAACAAATTTCATGACTTAGTTCACTTAAAAGCAATTCAGTGTATGTATTCCTGTTTACTTATCCAAGCAAACGGATTCCATCCTTTTTTCGTGTGTTAGAGATCTGGACCACTGCTTGTATTGTGGATGTCAAACAAATGGAATTGCAGTCTATGAAAAGCAGACCTTGGTTATCCAAGGAAAAGAAGGAATGTGATATTAAAAGGGACCATCTGAAAGCCCTCAAGCAGGATAATTGATTAGTGAACTTTACGAAGCTATTATTCCTTCTCCGTTCTGCTTGGCCTTTAATACAAATCTTACCAATCTCTGCCCTGACTCCTTCATCTTTCCTTTGTTGAGATCCCACCCTCTATCTGCTTTTTAATCTGTTTTTTCTTTCTTTCATTCTCAGACTCTAAGTTCATTCCTTCTGCAATATGAAAAACTGGTTTGTTTTACTGAATATCACCCCATTTTTATGCTTCTGGGCATTCTACTGTCAAAACTTACTGAGGATCCATCCTTTTCTTGTGTCAGATTGCTGCATCTACATTCAGTGTTGGGATTTTTTTGCTTGTTTTTACTTTCATTGAGTGTCTGAAAGCCCTGTAAAAAAAGATTCAGTTTTGTTAAAAAAAGAGCAATTCAGATTTACTGGACAATGGCAGGGTGGTAAAGCCTCCATTATTTCAGATTAGAAGATATTTGTTGAATAAGGAAAAGGTTTTGTGCACTATATCCCTAAGAGATTTTGCCATGAGTTGTATTTCCCAGATGTTGAGGACTTCGGATATTTGCTTTCTGAATGTGGACAACAGCTAAGGCTCCTTCAGGACTTTTAAAGAAGAAAACCTAAGGTTCCTGTTTTCCTGGTCACTGTCACAGCAAGCATTAGGTATTTTAAACACAATTTCTGTGAAAACTGAAGAAATTAATTTTAAAATATTCACAACAAAGGCATGCTACAAATGTACTTTTACTTAGATGGAGATCAAATGCTAACAAAATTCTTGTGAAATTACCAGAGATAAGAGTCTTTACTGTCCTATTCATGGAGTGATAATAGAAAAATAATAACAGGAAAATAAATATTAAGATAACGGCATCAAAAGTTTTGCTTACTCTCAAATTAGAGCTAAGATTGATGCTTAACATACAAAATCATGAGGAAATGAATACTATCTTCAGAAAGCTATAAAAATGAAGTACAATAATAAATATAACTTATGTAATAGTTCATATTTTTCTGTATTATAGGCAGATAATATATGTGATTACTTCCCAGTTGTCACATTAACATTAGTGCTTCTTCAAAGCTTTTTCTCTGGCTCCATACACTTCATATTCTGCATAATACATCTCCAATACTTATACATGATTTACACCGATTACACAATGCTTCATTTATGTATTAAAATATACAAATGCAATGGATTATGAATTGGGAAAGGAGAGTTAGCTTTATGTAGTAAATTTTCCAGTTTCCATAGTACTTTCCTAATTCTGTCAAGTTAATTGATGTACTGCTGAACACTTGACTCTTAAGTAGACTGCTGATTCGAGAAAATTAAAATGAATGCTATTTGTTCCTCTTCATTATTATACACTTGTAAATGAAAACAGTCATCTCCCTCAAACTAAAATAGTTTCCTACGATAGGAGAAACCTGGTTCTTTCCCTCAACTGTATATTTTTTCTTTCATGAACAGTACTCTCATAAATCTTAACCATGAGAGAGAATGTACTGCAGAGTTTTTTATACTGACTCTGACAGTCTAAGAGTACTGTGAGAGTAGCAAGACCTTTGTGGTATTGCTGGTACAGAATTATTTTTCTCTTTTATATCTTTTTAGTCAGTCTTTTCAAACACTTCATCTCTCTCCAGAATCAGTGACCACTCTGGACTTTATATTGCGGACAGAAGTTACTTCAGTTTAAATCATAGGAACAGTAGAAGATAAAACTCTAGAGGTTGTACTGAAAAATACTGCAGAC